AGGATGATTAGATGGAAGAGATATTTCTCGAATTTTGAGAGATTTTTCATGAAATTCAAGTGCTTTCAAATGGTCTCCAATTGAACTGTGTATTGTATCAATATTGCCATAGCTAATAGCTAAATCTACATGTGTAGAAGGAAGAATTTTTTCTTGAATTTCGAGAGTTTTTTGATAATATGAAAGTGCGGTTTGATCATCGCCCAATGAACTATAAGCCGTTCCGATATTATTATAAATGCTACCAAAATCTGGATGATTGGGTGGAAGAGATTTTTCTCGCATTGCAAATGTTTTTTTGTAGAAATCAAGTGCAGCAGCATAATCACCCATTGAACTATGAACTGATCCTAGATTATTATATGTAGTAGCTAACAAAGGATGATCGGCATAAAGGGATTTCTGTTCAATCTCAAGTGCTTTTTTATAAAAACTTAGAGCTAATGAATATTCACCCATTGAATGATGTACTCCAGCAATATTATTGTAGGTAGGAGCCAATGACGAACCATCTTCGGCAACATAGTTCAGTTCCATTTCAAGTGCCTTTTTGTAATATGATAAAGCAGCTGTATATTCATCCTTATGACTATAAACATATGCAAGTTGATGATTGAGATGAGCTTGACTGCACCAAGTTTTTTCATTTTTGGAATTGAGTTGTGTGCCAAAGATTTCTTCAGCTTGATTGAATTCGCCCAATTTCAACATTAAACTTCCTAATCGATCCAAAGGATTACCGCTTCCAATCTCTTTTCTAAAATGATCAGTTAATACTTTGAGTGTTGGATCATTATCACTTGTTAGACTTAAATTAACGAGCCAATATTGATCTTGAGTATGATGAACATCAATAATACGAAAAACAGTATGCATAGAGAAAAGAATTTCATTTTCATATTTGTAAGAACTATTTTCTTCTAAATAAGCAAATGGAACCGATGATTTCATTGGATCAATGGTCATTTGCAAGAGTACTGTATTCACTTTCGGATTCTCGACTGCACGCACAGCAAATTGTATTGAAACATTTAAATCTAGACTGGTTGATAAAAAATTGTTGAATAAAAGAAGATCACCGATGCTATTTTTCAACCTGTCGAAGTCATCTAATAACATACTTTGACGACGATATACAGTTATTTCTTTGTGTCGATCACTTTGTTTATTATATATGTTTGAAATTTGTTGATAAAGAGCGCAAATAAAAAATCCCCTTTTCATAATAGTTTCAATATCTTGTGATCGTGGAGCACGATTCATCAGCGAATATAAAAAAGATTCTTTTATATACTATTCAATGGCTAATTGATCATTGTACTCTAATTCAAAATCATCGATAAGTCCCAATTGAAATTCATTATCAGCATATTTAATACGACAGAATTCGACCAGTGCATTCTTCTCTTTATAATCATATTTCATATAGAGTAGAATTTCTTTAAGTAATTGCGTATACATAAATGATTTGTCTAGTTCATTGGACGCACTGTCTTGAATCTCTATCTCATTCTTTGGTAGGATGCTAATCGGAGGCACACTACCTATTTGACCACTATCGGCTTTGATCGCTTGAAAGATCTATTCTATATCATGAAAAATTCTTTTCACTTTTTGCGCCCATTTATTAGCCCAGTTTACTCGTAACTGTTTTTGAGAATTAAATACATAGATATATTCACGTTGTGATTTACCGAAAATAATTAGTACAAGTTGTTCACTGACTAGATCCGAAACAATAAGAACAACTGGGTGCGCGATGTGTGTGGGTGTGTGATCTGGATGTTTGTGTGCGTGTGAGTGTGGATGTTGGCAGTGCGTTCTCTTACACACACACTCGCACACCCACCCTCACACTCACCCCACACTCACCCACCCACACACTCACCCACCCACACACCCACACCCTGTGCTTATATCAAGAAAGAGTATCAGGTCCACAATATTATGTCGACTACCTCACGCCGTACAGTTGTATATATTTGCAAGTAGGATAGAATCATGAAGATTTATTCAGGAAGGTAAAAGTTAAAAGGATCACTTGTTTTGAAATTTTAGTTTTTAGAATAAATCAAGGAATAGAACTGGAATGTAGATCATACTGTTCAATGAACGTATGAATTTGAATAAACACAGTCCGTTCCCAGACATGCATAGGTGTTGGAACTGTCGCACAAATTCCATGGCACGGCTTTGCACGCATTGACACATGCACCAGCAGAGTTTTCGGTTGTGTACGCAAAACCTTGATCCGATCCATAAGGACATTGACAAACACATTTATAACCGGACGGTGGTGTCATTGATGTGTTACGGTATGAGCTAGAGTAGACACAATCAGTTCCGAGACAGGCATAGGTGTTGGAATCAAAACAAGGATTAGTTCGAATAGCTTTGCAAGCACTAACACATCCCTCCGGTGACTTGTCCGTTGTATATGCTAAGCCTTGATCATAGCCGTAGGGACACTGGCAAGAGCATCGATAGCGAGCTGGTACTGTTGTGGACGAGTATCTATACGCACTCGAATATACACAATTCCTTCCTAGACATGCATAGGTGTTAAAAACGTCACAACGGTACAATGGAGCTGCTCCACATGCACTTACACACGCATCAGTTGAATTAACTTTTGCGAATGCCACACCTTTATATGAACCATACGGACAGTAACAAGAACATCTGTAACGAACAGACACTGTTCTGGATAAGTTATCGTAGGAATTCGAAAACGCACATTTATTTTTAAGGCAGACATATGTGTTCGAATGGATGCAATTATTGGTTGGAATAGCGACACATGCATTTACACACGCTTCTGTGGTATTTCCGAATGTGTATGCAAAACTTTCATTCGAACCGAAGGGACACTGACAGGAACAGTTGTGAATGTAAAACGTTGAGTACATGCAATCCGTATCGAGACATGCATAAGTATTAGAACTGACACATCGGCTCGATGACACAGCTATACAGGCACTGACACAGGCTTCTGAGGAGTTCGTACTAGTATATGCGAAACCTTGATCAGATCCGTAAGG